TTTCTTAATTGCTTTTTGTGAAAAAAGGTGAGATTTTCCGGTATCCAGTTTTTACTAGCCGAACCTGGAAAAAACAGGATCTAGGAAGAACTGCGTCTAATATAAAATCAGGTTTACCTCTTTACAGTAAGGAATATGTAGTTGGTGTAGTGGTTTGCTTGTGCATGGATGTACCCGAGGTGTATGGAGTTAAAATCCCTGTGCGTGTACTTTTTATTTTCATTTTTCACACCACCTCATGCTGACAAGTGGGACACACAGAGGGGATTATGCTTAATTAAATTAATTAAATACAGAGCAAGGGTGCTTCTGCAAAGAAAAAATGCTGCGAGCTGTTTCAGTCACTAACAATGGGCTGTAGCCACGCTGGGGTGCCACGTAAGCGCGGGATACGTCTGAATATGACCAAAGTGACCGTATTTGCACAAGAACGTAAGTTGGATGACCACAAATCCGTATTTTTAAAGTTTTAGCACCAAACTGAACATCGAACACAAGTTTTATGACTTCCAATGATATTGCCTCTTTTTAAAATTCTAGGCCCAATATTTCAATTATCCAAAATAAAAGCCAAATAAGTGGTCAAATTTTACTCTTTATATGATTAAACTTATACTTTATTATGCATTACAATAGTATTTATTCATAAACCTATTTATCATTGACTTATTGTATGTCACAAGTTGATTATTTTAGGTTACATAGCTATCGACTAATTTACTTAAGTAACATGTTGATATAATTCATATCCGTTCCGAATTAAGAAAATATCCGATACGTATCCGTATTCGAATAATATCCGAGCCGCATCTGTATCCGAGAACATCCGTATTCGGATTTGTATTCGTTTTGAAAATATGAAAATGGAAGTGGTAAGAGCACTATCCGATCCGCATCCGATCCGTTTCCGTCCCTATCTGATTTCCACCAAAACCCTTTGATCGTTCACTCACCATGTCTTTCGTAATTTTTTTTTGTTTGACTGTCTTTAGTCTCTTGTCTTTGTACCTTTGCAAGCTCTTTTCACCAAAGGTTCGGCATAAGTTTGTCCCACGGTCCTACATCTGCTCTATGGAATTCCAATGATGCCAGCCTCACAAAGAACAAAAGTTGGTTTTGATAATTAAATGCAAATGCAGTGTAGAATCATTGAGTTGGAAAATGCTACATTCCACAAATTGAAGATGAAGTTGAATTTATAGCTGAGTTTGTTCTAACTAAAACCTTATCTAAGTCCGAGAGTGTAACTTTGTGGATTTGTATGTTTCAAGTTTTAACAAGGGACAGCTCAATTTCTCATATTAGTAGGAATCAAAATGTTGTAAGTCATAGACTCGCTTCTTTTGGTCTTGTTGAAGCCTGTACGGCTCTCTGAATTAGTTCGGGTCCTGCTAATGTACCACAACTTTGTATGGAGGACCTCCCTCCTAGTTGAGCAATGAAATCTCTTTAACCCCGCAAAAAAAAAGTTTTAACAAGGGGTAGTACTAAACAACAACATGGATACAAGAAAATGTTTGTAATCCTCTGGTAGATGCCGGCGGAGCATGATGTCCAGACCACGTAGCTTAATTGATGAGATTTTCATTATGAGCATGCGTGTCAAGACTGTGTGTCTTAATTGGCGAGAATTTTTATTTGAGAAACATTGAGTACAACGTAAGTGAACACACGCACACCACCACCATCACACATACTCACACATAACACCTATCAAGGATTAAAGTTGCAGAGTTTCAAGATTGATGAAGTCATCACTGTCATCTCGCTATCCACGAGAACGTCACCCTCGACGGATAAAATAATCCACATTAGGAGGACACACAAAAGCATCGATCATAGGGTTTGATCTGATGGGCAGAGGATACAACCTCCAACCAAGCATGATCGATGATATTTTGATTCCTACCATAACCATCATTCGTACTGAACTACCCCATCTACTATTTTGCAAGGTATCATTTTGTACAGGAACATAGTCAAACTTTTAAGATCCCAAAGAGTAATATATTTCCATTTTTTTTTCTAAATCCATGCTTATACATTCGACGTTTGACCAACAAAAGGGGGGAGAATGCCACGAATGTATTAGTGTGGATTTCGTGCAATTTGTTTTTTGAAATTCATCGCTATTCATTCCATCTCAATTTAAGTTTTGAGGCACTTTGACATGACGAGAAACTATAAAAAGGATAATTCGTGGATATCATTAAATTTTATGCTCTGAGACATAGAGCCTTTAAAAACTACAACTATAAATATGTTATTGCACCCAGGAAAAATTGAGGTCATGAGTACTATTGTGGTATTGCTCACTTGTCTATTGTTTTGTTTTCCCTTATGCGTTAGACACAAATAATCGAAAATCCGCAGAGTGTCAAGAGATATATCAACGGAAAAAAAAAACACTTCAATAACCTATCAACATGTGAGATATATTCAACTTTTTCCTAATGCAACCATATGATAAGACTGTCATCTTTAAACCTTGAGTAATGCAAGAATTTATTTGCCAAGAAAAAGAGAGAGATAAGACTGTCATCTAAAACATGATATTTAAATACGGGAAATGAGTAGGTTTCAGATGGATATGTATGTGGTTTCGAAATTTTTACCTAGAGGCTTGAGAGAGAATGTGTAACTATTTGGAAACAACACTTGTGATTATTAAAGTGATGCTTAAAAATGAAGAGAGAGTAAATAATTATTCGCAGCAATCATCATATATACAGGAGCAAATTGATCGTGATCATCAACAGGCCCGTGCCAACCCAGGCGGCCAGGCCAGCTTCACGAGGCCGATGGGCCACGCGGCGCCGCGCACTGAATGTCAGGCGGGGCCACCGGCGACGGGGGCCCTCCACGGCCCACGCCATGCACCGTCTCGTCACACCGCCGACGCGGAGGGCCCGGCGCCCCTGATCGCCGACCGCCAGACGGGGTCGACCTCGCCGTCGTCGGCGGCGGCGAGCCAGGCGTCGACGTCGTCGAAGAGCGCGCGCTGCTTGCTGGGCGGCGGAGGCGAGACGAGGCGGTCGCCCGGCACGCCGATGGCCGCGGCGCCGCCGTCGACGAGGGAGTGGAAGAAGACGTCCCGCAGCTCCCAGCCGCCGCCGCCGGCCACGCCTAGCCCGCCGCGGCACTTCTGCCAGGGGAACTGGAACACGCCCGGCGGCCTCCGCCACGCCTCCCCGGCGTCGGCCGCCGCCGCCGCCTCGTCGAAGGGGAAGTCCGCCGCCTGGTCCGGCTCCTCCCGCGCGCGCTTCCTCGCCCTGCCGCCCTCCGGCCGCCGATCCATGCAGGCTGAGGGCGCTGCATCGGGAGATGGAACATGCATGTCGACATTGATCAATCCATTCCAGCCCCTCGACCTGACCTTCAAATCATATCGTGCGCATGCATGGCGGCGACGGCATGCACGTACCTGAGACGAGAGGCCGGCCTGATCGAGACGACGAAGGAGAGCGCCCGTACGTCGACGTCGCGATGTCGGGCTCCTGGGAAGGGGGTGGTGGGAGTATATAACGGGGAGATCGGTGGAGAGGGTGGGGGAGCATGCATTATGTTCATGCAGAATGTACCGATGAAGACGTGCACGGCAGGCCCAGGCGGCCCGGGCAGCTAGGGCTGGCATTGCCAGCCGGTGCATGCCCCGCTGAAGGAAAAAAAAATGCCAACGAATGCATTTTTTTTTTTGAAACTCTAACGAATGCTCTTTATTTTTGAAACTCTAACGAATGCATGCTGGTAACTCGCAGTGCTCGTTTAACAAACGTTCGTTTTTGCTTGGATCCGTTGGCGACATGGGCGGGGTGTTCGGTTCCTTGTCGATGGAACAAGGTGTGGTCGTTGGTACGTTGATCGTGATCGTAGTAGCACCAACGACATGGGCGTTGATGCCTTTTTTTATGCAATAGCTAAATGTTAGTCGCATGAAGATCCAATTGGGGCCGGTCGGTTTTCGCTAGAAGGAAGCAGGCGCCGGAGGGAAGGAAGAAGACGTCAGAGTGAAGGAAGGAGGTTCGCTGGAGAAATAACCAGTCATCGCCGAGGTTAGATGGATGGCCGGGAGCGGCGGCATCATGGTGGTGGCCGGTGGTACGTTGGGCTGGAGGAAGAAGGGCCGCGGACCGTTGGATCTGCATCCGACGTCCCAAACGAATCCACTGACCTTATTTGAAAACTCAGTCGACTTACCTGTACCCACACCCTTTTACACAATAACAAAAAAAAATGAAGATGGATTAAGTAAAACCTCCCCCAATATCATCATAATCATGATCTCTTGTTTTTTGCGGGTAAAACACTCGTATTACTCAACCAGAAGAGGAATACAATCAACATTGTTCAACTCAATCACCTCACAAGGAGGGCCAAACCCTAGCCAAGTCATAGTTCTGCCTTCCACACAAGCAAAGATAGCCAAACAATTGCTAACCTTATGTTGTGAGCGTCTAACGTGAGTAATACTAGTTCTACGTAGGTTTAGGGGCAGCTTTATCTCCTCAACCAAGGAAATACTAGTTCTACGTAGGTTTAGGAGCAGCTTTATCTCCTCAACCAAGGAAGAGTAAACCGATCTGTCATTATCGCCAGACTGAATCATTCTAACAGCTTGTAGAGAATACAATTCTACCATCACCGGCAGATTACTTCTCATCAAGGCCTGAGAAAGGCCCTCCATACACGCACCAAGTTCAGCTTCCAAAGCGTCCTAGGAGTAGAGTAGGCCCTCCACTATGATCACGACCAACATACCAACGACACCCACACACTTGTGTGGACTGTGGAGCATATATTTTTGCGGAGTACGCAGTATATATACATCTCTGCACAAGTCATGGCTGGAACGTAAGTGCATCCTTTTGTTGGACAATCACCTCCAGTAGCCGAGTAGAACAACCACGCGTATTCCCAGAGGCTTCTGGCAGTTCCAAAAGGGATATATTTTGTGGAGTAGTGCACAAGGAGCATGGACCGAAAGAACGACAAGCAAGCGACTACAAAAGAGCCATCATCAGTCCCAGAGGGCAATGCTTAGCAAAATCACCGTGCATTGCGCTTCGTGAGCTCTGAGCTGAAACCGATATACCCTGAAATGCACACCATGCATATGTAGCAAAATCACCCAGCCTTACACTTGTAGAACTACGGATATCTAAATTGTTCTCTCTCTGGAATTTATCAGGTGCGGAAATTAGGTTCCGGAAATCGGCAGACTATCATTCATTTGCACGTATGAGCAAGATAGGTTGTTGGGAATGTTTACCTGGAAAATAAAGCCATCTGAAGTGTGTTTCCAGTCGGAGATCGTGCCTCCAAATGGAGGTCTACTTTTGTCCCAGGAATCATGCAGACAATGATGCTGTTTTAGCAACCTGCGAAATTTTAGTGATTGCGTTATAAGGATGAAAGCACATGTCTTCTGGAGTCCATCCCTCATGAAGGATGCCAAATGATCTTCAGGGCCGCAGCATGCTTGCTGTTTGCTCTGTCAACAGAGACAATCAAGCAGAAATAGTTTGCCCTTTATCAGTCCATAAAAAGGTTCCTGTTGGCTGTTACTGAATCAACCCACGGCCTTGTAGATTCATAAACGCACTACATCTTGGCAGAATCACCAGTAATCTCCACAGGAACAAGATCCACTACTGAAATGATGAAATCTATTTGTGTCCCTCACAACAATCTCCCTTCCAAAAACTTTGGAGATGTATTTGAAAGCAGAGTGGCAATCCCCACATATCCTAATATTCTTCATGATACGAATTGTTGCCCCTGCAGGCATTTCGATCAGCGCAAATGCAAGCGCGAGCTTCTCGCTGTGGTACTGTAGGTTTGCCTCCCTCTCTTGGTCATCTACACGCACAAGCACATAATCCATATCAGGAACATATCCTTCTTTCCTAATCTTCTTGCTTATCTCACCCCACATCTTATATATCTCTTCCGCTCGTGGATGGGTATCATCATTTGCCACAAACATGTGCACAGAATTCTCCATCTCAACCCAACTGCATGCAGGTTCCTTCTTCACACCAGTTGTCTTCATCATCCTCCTCACTCTGGATGCAGCATCCCATTGGCCCGTGGAAGCATATATGTTATACAACAGGACAGGTGGACCACTATCATCTGGGTCAAGTTCAAAGACATGATCAGCTGCAAATTGCCCTACTTTAGCATTCTTATGCATTCTGCATGCCGCAAGCAAGGCTCCCCAAACTGCAGCAGTTGGCTCCATGGGCATTTTAAATATAAAGACCAGAGCATAATTTAGTAAACCAGCTCGGCCGAGAAGAGCAACAACCGTAACATAATGATCAATCTCCGGTTCTAAATCATACTCCTTCATCATTTCAAAGTAGCGCTTGCCCTCCTTCACCAGTCCTCCATGGCTACAGGTAGTCAAAATGCAAAGGAAGGTGATCTGATTCAGGTAAACGCCAGATTTCCTCATCTCCTCAAAATGGGAGACTGCTTCCTTCCCGAGTCCATATTGTGCAAATGCTGTGAGCATTGTGTTCCAAGTAACCAGATCCTTATTATCCACACGGTCAAATACCTTTCTCGCGTCGATCATGCTCCCTGATTTTGCATACATGTCAAGCAATGTATTTCCAACAAATGCAGTCAGTTTCTGCCGAGATTTAATCACATGTGCATGCACCCACTTCCCCTGCTCAAGAGCACCTAAACGAGCAATAGAACTGAAGACGCTTGAGTACGTAAAATGTGTCGCTTCAAACCCATTTCTCAGCATCTCTGCAAAGGTCATCAGAGCAGTCTCTCCATCACCCTTCCTCGCAAACCCGGAGATCAATGCGTTCCAAGAAACCCCATTCTTCGAGTCAAGTTTGTCAAACACTGCGGTGGCCATGTCCATGTTCCCACACCGCGCATACATGTCGAGAAGCGCGCTCCCAACATAGACATCCTCATGCCAATCACACTTCACAGCAAGAGCATGGATCTGCCTCCCGATGCCGCTGTCAGCATGAGCGCCGGCAGCCTTGAGGAGGCTGGCGAACGTGAACCCGTTCGGCTTGAAGCGCCCCTTCAGCATGCCAGGGAGCAGCCCGATGGCCTCCGCCGGCATGTCGTTCTGCGCGTACCCCGCAATGAGCGAGGTCCAGGAAACCATGTCTTTCCTCCGCATTTCGTCGAACACCTTCTGCGCTTCCAGCACGCTGCCGCACTTGCAGTAGAGGTGGATGAGCGAGTTGTCGAGGAAGGCGTCACCGGCGAACCGGGAGCTGGCCAGGTGCGCGTGGATCTTCCTGGCATCCTCGAGGTTCTTGGATTGCGCGCAGGCGGTTATGAACGAGTGGTAAACGCGCGGGGTCGGGGCGAGCTCGCCGGCGTCCAGGAGATCGAGGTCACGGTGGACGGCGGAGGCGGCCGGGACGGGGCTGGCCGCGGTTGAGGTGCAGGGTGTAGTGTGTCGGTGGAGGAGAAGGTAGTTGGGCAGAAGCTTGTGGGGCTTTCTCATGGGGGTGGCGAAAGAGGGGGCAGGTGTCCGACGTTTTGCTCCCGAGAAGGCGAGAAGGAACGAGGGTCCGTCTGACAAGAACAGCGAGAAAATATGCTCTCTTTTTTGTGCTAATTGTAAGTTTCATTTTTACTAGTCCATCCGTTCACAAATACAAGATGTTTTAACTTTTTTTCTGAAACGAATATTACTCCCTCTATCCATCTATATATAGAGGGCAGGCCTCATTCGGTTTGGAGGAAATCAAAATATATAAATTAAGAGTAGTATAGGAATTTGATAGGATGGAACTTGCCATCCTAAAAATTGTCTTGCCTCGTTCCTACGTACAAAATAAGTTTTGAGTGGATATGTAGATTCCTTCAAAAACATAGAAAATGAATAGTATTTTTATGAAATTCCCGTACGCGTTTTCTACAAACCGAATACATCTATAGGAAATTTTCCTATGGAATTCTTATTCCTGCGTTTTTCCTATAAAAATCCTACAAACCGAATGAGGCCTAATGTGTTTTTCGAGGCTAACTTTGACCACATGTTAGAGCAATATATATGACATGCAATTACATAAAGCATGCCGACAAATTCATACGTGAAAGGAGATTCTAATCATATAATTTTCACATTATACATCTCATATACTATTAATTTTTAAAGATAATCCGACGCCATCAACGTAACAATAAATCTCACATTGCAATGTGCCAAGAGATCTGCTAAGAAGGATGTTGAGAGAGATTTTACTGTGCTTCAAAAACTGCGATTATTCATGGTCCTACCGATTACTGAAAGCCCCAGAGCCTATCACAGGTCATGACAACATTTGCTATCTTGCATAACATGATCCATAAGGATGAGATAGATAAACCCCTACAATGGTGTCATGGTGGAGCCATAATGTCACCCAAACAAGATTTTCCTCGCAATACATGAAGGACCGAGAACTCGCCCCACAACCAACTCCAAGATGGTCATGTTGAGCACTTGAGGCAACTTCACAACACTTGATTTTCATGATTTTTATAACGTTTATTTGAATCATTAGTTCATTAGGACTATATGGTGTGTTTGAATTTGATTGTTTACATTTGAAAATATAGATTTTTATATGCTCTTGAATTGCGCATATTTGAAATCTAAATTTTTGAGTTAGTATGTTGTGACCATATATGTTCCAATGGAGTTTGTATGTGAATATATGGATGAATTGGAAAAAGAATATTTGTGGGGTAATTAAGTTTTGTTGATGGGCTAGTTGATCGAAAGTTTAATCCCCAAAATGGGGAATTAACGGATGGGGGAGGTGATGGAAAATTAAAATATAGGGGATGGACTAGATATGCCATTAAATCTATATCCCATGCATTCGACTCTACGAAACACCAACATCACAATATTTAAATTAATATGCTATTTATCTTGATCTTATGCATAGAGTGAGCCAGCAAGGTAAGAAAGATGACACTTGGATGTTGGTTCGCTAGACTCGGGAAAGTAATTCAAAAAGAATATGGTACAGCTTAGAAATGGACATTCCATTCGAAAGAACTCAGTAACTAATGGGATGAAACACTAGAACTTTATAGGTAGGGAATGTAATAGAAAAGAAGGATTGGTATTTGGATCTGCAAACATAAAGGATTAGGCCATGTCCAATGTGGGCATCAAGGAAGAGCTCTAAGATTGATTTCTTAGTAGTTTGTTTTTTCAGAATCTTCGTGACCCTGGAAAAAAAATCTAATTTCTTTCCCACACAAAATAATTTGGACTCCAGGCAAGCGACTCTACATCTACACCACGGTTAAAATATTTTTATTTTATTGTTGCTTGAGCACCTAAACAAGCGCATGCGTTGGACATGGCCTTATAGTTTCCTATATGATCCTTTTCGAATGGGATTCTACTATCTCGTGGGAAAGGAACAAAGCATCGTCAAACCAACATTCAAAATTACAAAAATGGTGAGAGGACACAAAAGGATTTTGAATGACAATCATAAATGTATCTTCAAATGTTTTTTAAACGACATAGAAGCAGAAGCACCTTGCCTTTTCCATTGGATGAAGTGTTCGTTTCATAAAGCTTCGCAGTAAGGGCATGGGCAACGCCTCCAAACCTTCGTCCATACCAATGTTTTCAAGACTTGGTTTTGTTGTAAAAAGAGAATTGAGAGTAGCTCAGATGGTTAGATTCCTTATGATGAGACAATCCACCAGGGTTCAATATTTAGACTTGGAATTCTTGTTTG